CTTTGTAGGTTTTGAGCACTCGACAAACTGTTGTTTTCGGCATCTTCAGCACTTTAGCCAGGTTGGAACCGGACCACTCCGGATTTTCAAGGTGTTTTTGCACAATATTTTTTCTTCCTCCGAGTTTCATTTGACGTTATTTCTGAACGCAATCGACTACTTTGATCAAACTTGCACCAGTTGTTCTCTATAGAAGTATAAACAAACCACTGTCAAAGATTTTCGACTCCAAACACTAGAGGACACTTTTATTCAGCCTTTACGTAGCACGGTGGAGCTTTCTCCATCTTTTCCACCTTCGGTTCATCACCAATAGCTTCTTCGAAGCCATTTGACTGGCAGTGTCCAATTGGGGTCGTTTCCCAGCCGGAATAGCTGTCGTGTTTCCTCATCCAAACACCGCGAAAAAAGAAGCGCGAACACTAGCGAACATGTAATTATGTTGACATAACGGGTGTTCAATAAAAAATGTGAATGATTTCAATACCTTTCTGTAATTAAAGTAAAGAGCGTAATTTTTTTTTTCTCTCCAAGAGAATTGCTCTTTGGACTCCCTAAAAATGGGTGGCGCATGTTTCTTTTCGCTTGGGTGCTGTCAGTTCAATCTAAGATGGCGTCGAAACAGCAAGCACTCCGCAAGCCAGTTGTACGGTTTTACGAAACGCATGGCCATTGTGGAAAAAAGTTTACGGTAGACCACTTTCGAGACGAAAACGTGCCCGTGAGTACAGTTTACCGGATCCTGGCATTCCTGAGCTTGGAGCGGAAGGCCGGTAGCGGCCGTCCGGCGAAGATAATGACGAAGAAGAAGAAGAAGAAGGAAGCGTTGAAAAAGCTGTTCGACAACAAGGATGAAACGAGTTAGTCACTGCTCCCATACCTTGATTCACCGAACCCTCAAGATGGAGGGCATCATCTGTCGGAAGAAAACTCGGTCCCCCTAAGTACACGGACGAGGCGATAGCGACCGTGAAATTGCCTGTGGATGATGAAGAACTACCGCGGGACGTCGTTCGTGCTGGACGACGAAAGTTACTTTCCGCTCTCGAAGACCCACATTCCCCCTCAGTGCCCTAGTGTACAAAAATAATTGGCGGGCCAAGGATACGAAGCAGTTGACCACGAGGGTCCGGAATTGTATCCGGAAGATGGACGTCAGTGCCGTCCAGCGCTCTTGTGAGAGCATCGCGACTAAGTTGCGTCGTACGGCTCCTTCTCCAATATTCATTGACGGTTTTTTGAAGAATAAACATTATGTGTAAACATTTTTATTAAAAGACACTGAATTCGTCGACAAAATTTTTTTATTTACTAGCTATATGACTGAAAAAATCCTCATTTTTTATTGAACACCCGTTATTTATAAAAATCCGGTAAATGTCTGCAATGTGAAAAATGCCTGCAACAAAAATGAAACGACTGCAAATTAACAGACATGTCTGAAAAATTGGACAACACTGCACACTATTAAAAAGTAATGTAAATTTCCGCGCCCTGAGACCGACACATGCATTGCCCAAATGACATAAAAATCAGTTGAAAGAAACGAGATAAATAAATTCAATCAATCGTATTTTTTGTCGAGTTCCGTATGTTTCGGTTTTGGAACACTTAATTTAACATGACATGTTTGCTTACGGTCCATAATTTACGTCGAAGATGGATTACGTCTCGTGTAAAAATAGTTATTTTTAAGTGTGTGGATCACACCGAATGAATCGTTACCATGGCACCGGGGTGTATTTGTGGTAGCCACATTCTAGATTTAAATGTAGTAGAGCCCGGTGCCGATGGTACGAACGAACGCTATGGTATCAACAATCCCCCCTATTCTGCGAGTCACGTGACTCTCTGTCACCGGTGAGGTGACAATAGTCACCTCGTGTGAGGTGACTCTCCATTTGATTTACATGGAGAGTCACCAACAATCAATACGAAACTAACGATTTTAAATTGGCTCACCACTTTAGTAGCCTATTGGTCCCAAGCAAACGATTAACGTACCCTATTCTAGTTGAAATTCTATTACTACACTATGTTTGTTTTGATTCGCTATGAAAGTTTGACAGATAACATCAGGGGTGTGTGGATTCATGCAGAACATGCAGGGGTGAGTGAAATAGCTCGGGACTGCTTGGGACCGTTGTTCTGGTACTGAGTGAGCCAAAAATAATAATGATTTTCTTCGGGACCCAGTGGTCTTAGAGTTACCTCTATGGTTATACCAACCGGTGGAAACTAACGATTTTAAATTGGCTCACTCCTTGACCAGCCTATTGGTCCCAAGCAAATCGATAAACGTATCCCATTCTAGTCGAAATTGTAGTTCTACACTATGTTTGTTTTGATTCGCTATGAAAGTTTGACAGATAGAATGAGGGGTTCGTTGATTTTCCTACGTTTCGAGGGGTGCATCGATTAGCTTGGGACCGAAGAGAGTACAAGAGCTGAGCCAAAAAGTTGAGTATGTTTCTATGGGACCTTCTGGTCTATAGTTGTAGTCTTGCAAGGTGAAATTTACTTTGGTGCGATGTCCAACAATTCGATTGCAAAAAGGTCTCGTGATTACATTCGTAATGCCATTAAAAAAAATGACGCGTGCTTTTTACAATCTCTTAAGTTTTTTTTTTCGAAAATGCATCTAAGTAAATTAAACCTTAATCCAGTACCGCAATCGACATACTACCATACAGGTAACTCTAAGACCAGAAGGTCCCGAAGAAACGAGCTCAACTTTTTGGCTCAGCTCTGGTATTTTCTTCGGTCCCAAGCTAATCGATGCACCCCTCGAAACATAGGAAAATCCACGAACCCCTCATTTTATCTGTCAAACTTGCATAGCGAATCAAAACAAACATAGTGTAGAACTACAATTTCGACTAGAATGGGATACGTTAATCGTTTGCTTGGGACCAATAGGCTAGTCAAGTAGTGAGCCAATTTAAAATCGTTAGTTTCGTATTGATTGATGATAAGGTAATTGATTCTGGTTGGACCTATCCAAAAACTGATGATGGTTGGACCTATTTTTTCAATCGCTAGTTTAGTCAATTTTCGCTTATTTTTTTATTTTCAAAGATCACTTTACTATCATAAAAAAACTATTTTTCTTCAATTTGCATGGGTGTTTTATTGAAATAACTTCAAAACAATTGGGTTTTTAATGTGTTTACAAAACAGTTCACTTTCCACGCATTAGCTCGTCATCATGCCTTACTTTCAAACATACAAAAAAGGAACATTTACTGCTTTAAGGTGTAAACAACACGTTAGTACGCCATTTATCCATTGGTTTCACTAAAATGTTTGAATAATTGACGAAATTCGAATAGATAAATATGATGATGGTTGGACCTATGTGTTTCCTAAGACGGCCGCTAGGTGCGCATCTGTTTGTTTATATCCTTCATGCAGAGCTGATTTGAAATTCGATTTCGCGTTGGCCGTGTGTTCTTCGGAAGTTTCTTCGATTGAAAAAAAATGGCTAAAGAAAAGAGTTATACAAAATCTTCAAGAGGCTGTTCTTTTAGTAAGAAATAAATCACTCACCGCATATCAGGCACATAAAAGGTACAATATTCAGAAAACGACACTTCACGCAAAAATTAAGGGAAGCCACCCGAAAAATTCCTAGACCGGACCGGGAAATTGAACCCAGTCACCTCTAGTATGGTCTTGCTTTGTAGCTGCGCCTTTACCGACTGAGCTAAGGGAGGCCCCAACGAGATCTTGGAAGCTGCTAAAGACCTTGCGTCACTAGTTCACATGTGGTGTGATCTAGTGACGCAATCTTCATATGTCTGTAAGTTCTGATATTGTCATTTTAAGCCCCTGAATTCCCCGGGGGCACCCAGAACATGTCCGGAAGGGGCCAATGTGGTCCAAGGCACTCAATATTGTTATTGATCTTGTTATCGAATTTGGAAGTAATGTGAAGTGTCGCATGATAGGTTTTATTCCTTCCATGTCAAAGTTAGGTCCATGTTCCATGTACTCTGAAACTTGTTCCGGCCATATCTCCGGAACCAGTTGACCGATTCCAACAATATTCGATAGCTTTCAATGGAATCATAATACCTATAGTTTGAAGTTAAAAAAAAAATCTAAATCGGATCAGTGATTTCCGAGAAAATGAGAAAATGCGTGGAAAGTTAATTTTTTAAAAACGTAGTGAAACTCAAATTTGTTTATTTTTTTTAAATAACAAATTCATAAAAACTGTATAAAAAGGGTTTTTTTTTATGATACCAATAAGCTCTAAACATTTTTTTTTAACAAATATGGGCTAAATAAGCATTTGCAAAAATAGGTCCAACCATCATCATTTTTTAGGTCCAACCAAGATCATAATTCTTTGCTGATTAAAAACGTTTTATAAAATCATTTGTTCATAATATTTAACTTTTAATGTTATTATTAGAAACAAGAAAGGTAGATCTTTCCCCTAATCAGGCATTTTTCGTAATTATATGTCGAATTCAAAAAAAAAAAAAAATACGACATGAATGTTGACGTCGTGTGAAACTGGCCTAAATAGGTCCAACCATCATCAGTTACCCTACTACGTTGAAGGAGTAAAACGAAACTACAATCTTGTCTGTCATAAGTATTAAGTCCTTATGATTCTTAACGCTAGCCATGTGTATTGCGCTGGATCGTTATGAGTCAGATTACACAGTAGCTGTGGATGCTTTTTCTAACTTGGTACAAGTTAGAATTTTGTTCAATTGATATCAAGTCGACGTAATGTAATGGAACATGATTCCCAGATATGATCAGTGTTGGCCAGGGGCCGTGCCCCCCACAAATCAAGGCCTGCGAGAGTCACACAATTGTGCTATCCATTGTCGAACGGTTGAAAGTCATCTAGAAATTTCGGTTCGTAAATCCCAGTCCTATCCTGATTTCAAATATGGTTTTGCGTTAAAGATTGTTATACCGTTCAGTTGATGGGAAGTGGCTTTCAAGAAACGCTTAACGCATCAACACACCAGTTAAACTTCATTCTTCAAATGCAGTTTTATTTCTCATAATAGGTTTCATTATTGGGTCTGCTGATGTCTCTCTATTTCCACGTGGTTCTACTAGAGTGTTGTGTAGTGGTATTATTGCATCAGAGGAAATTTGGTTGTTGTTTTCTTTTTTTTTAAACGTCGTTCATTTGTGTCATTATAATCATTTGCTTTTGCTTTCTATTATTGTTCGAAAAAAAAAAGAACTCCGTATGTATTTGCTTGTGTTTGAATATGGTGTGAAGTTTGAGTGGTTTGATAAACTTTTCCCTTAGTTCTCTGTGTAGTAGCAGCAGAAGTAGTAATTTGTGGTGAGATTGTGTTTTACTGTGACTGTGAATCGATTGATTCGGATCTTTCTTTGTTTTTGGTTTTCCTTTTGTTTATCATATGATGTATAATTGGGCTTTTTTTATAACATTTAATACTAAAATCATATCAATTTTACGGATCATACAATCATTTACCTCAATGTCTTTAGTTGCTGTGAATGTCAGAATATAAATGATAAAGCATTTTATTCTATACATAACAGTTTTTGAGTATTTGTTTCTTTAGTTTTTTTTTTATTCGAATGAATGTGTATGTTTTTCGTGTTACTCTGGTGTAACGTTTTAAATTTTTGCTTGGATTACATATGATGATAACATTGTTTTTCGGTAATATCATGAAATATTTATGATTTAACTATATATACCTTGTTGAATGCCTTATCGCTCATTCGCTCGCAACTCGCTCTATTACTCTGAAACTCATTCTGCCACATCAGTGCGGCTCACTCGTTTGCAATTTTCTGACTTTATTGTATTGAACTCTAGCTCTCAAGCACTTGCATCATGGCAACACAAAACCCGCTGGCCAATAGCAACGAAAAAGAAAACAGGCAAAACAAACTTAAGCGAAAACGTCAATCAACGGAATGACAGTTCGTATTTTTCAGTATCACTTGGATTGGAATATGTTTTTAACTGCATTTGCTTCAAAGTTTCAGTTTCGAAATGCTAATTTTTGATTATAAGTGGTAGCAGTGTAGAAAAGAAAACTTACAGTCCTACATCCGGTATGACCTTAGAAAGACCTTAGGCAACTTTCCGATGCGTTCAGCTGAACTTTCGTTTGTTTTTGTTTATGTTGTTGTTCTGTTGCTGCTCGTTTCAATCCTCTTCATAAAAATATCATTTTTCTTCTGCTGTCTGCTTTACAAATTTAGTCTAGTATGTACAGAAATAATTAACCTTACATTCAGTTTCTATCAAGAATATACTGCTTGTTTGCAATCATGTATTATCAGAGTTTTTCAAACTTTCGAGAACGTGGCTCTCCTTCCGATGTGAAATAATGTAAACAACAATGAGCATTGTTCTAGCACTACATCCTTTCTAGCATCACTAGCAGTTGACAACAAAAGTTGTTCGAGAAAGTAGGCTGTGATTTTTGTTTTTTTTTTTTTTTTATTATCTGACTACTTCGATTGATGAGTAAGCTGATGGAGTGATCTAAAAGCTCTGTCGTTAAATTCACAGATACGAATGACGAAATGAGTTTGAATGGAACAACTTTCTGGAAGAATCTCTTTGCTTGCACTCAGTCTGAATGACCGGTTCCCTTTTTAAAACTATTGCCTTCTTGCGAACATCCGAAATTTAGATATAGAGAAGATAAAGATAGGATATTTTTTTTCAATTTGCATGACTAGCGACTAAACTGTATGCTCTGCTCTTCTTTCTTTTCCTGGTAAATGCTTCAATATCAAAAGGAAACTATATAAGCCAAAAATTGTTTCTTGTGTTCCATGAATGAGATAACAATACTCTTTGGTTGAATAGTTCTCTTCTTGCCTTTAACTTCTTCTTCACCGAACGAATGTGGTTGTGGATCCTGCTTACTCTATGTAGATGTCCTCGATTGGATATGCAGTTTCTATGAACTTCTGATAGAATCGTTGAAAAGCCCTCCTGAAAGGAAATTAGAATCAGATCGCATTGCGCCTTGACGGTACAGGCGACAGAACTTACCCAACAGCTTCGGCGACGGGTCGCGTCGATTCAGTGCCCTGGAACACGTGGCACGCGAAGCGCTGCACCGTCGGATGTTTGGTGATGAATCCAATGTACCGGTGGTCCCGCGGGTGAAACGCACAGAACGACACGTTCTTCAGCGAGTAGAAATAGTCGATGCAAGGTCGTTTGTCCTTTTTGTTCTGAAATCATCGAAAACTCTTAGAAATGTGTTTCCCGTATAACGTCTTACCTCCAAGCACTCACCCTCGACCGATCGACCATCCGCAGTCCCTGGTCCGAAATCTCCAATATACAAGCTTGTGCTTTCGGTGACTCGGTTCCATCGCCGACAATCTTTCTCACAGCCTGACAGACCACCCCGGTGCCCTTGTGGGCCAGCGTTTCCACCGAGCCCAGATACCCCAGCAGATACCGTTCCCGCTTCATCTCCACCGTCGACGGGTCAAAGTCGTTATAGTCGAGATCCACGGCGTAGGCCGATGGGAAAATGCCCTGCCTGCCGGTTCGTAGATTCACCCCCTCGCACCACAAATCTTCTGCCTCCTTTTGCACGTAGATCGGATCACCAATCTCCACCTCGATCTCATCGTGATGCCGTGGGATGAATTTGTGCAGCCCCCGGTGAGTCGCTTCCAGCATCTCCAACTGACTGAACGGCACTCCACCGTACGGAGGCGGGAAGGGCGACGTGGCGGGGGAAGCAGCCTGTGGAGCCGGGGGCGACATACTCTTGAAGTCGTTTGGAGAGTGTGCCGTACTGTGGCCACTGTCCACGTCCCCCAGGCTCTGAAGCCGTTCGGAATCCGGGCTGGAGTCTTCGTCGAGCAGATAGCTACATTTCAGCGCCAGGAGCGAGTTTTGCTTCAGGAATGTGTGATGCGGGGTGGACTTTTTGGTGGCATTCAACTCATCGGCCAGCGATGTCTGTCCGGAGGACAGGAGCTGCAGTACGGAAGCTGGAGGGAGGGGATAAGTGATTATATTTTTGGTTGATATTTATCTTCTTTGCTTATGTTTAGGGACAGTGGAAATTCGCGACAAAAAAGGTAATTTGCGACATATGTGACATAAGGCCTGTACTCGAAAAAAATGCACCAGACAAAAGTGTTCGCCAAAAATTTATTTTAAGTCGGATTTTCTTAAAACTTTTAGGGAATGAACTAATACATATGGATTATGTTTCGGCATAATTACTTTATTCAATTTCCTTTCCATCGCTGAAAGCTCGCACCTTTCCCTAAAGACCCCTCATTACATTTTGTGCAATTGTGGAGCCGACCTTTTTGGTCACTTGGCCTTCATTATGGCCCAAAATCTTTCCACCGGACGAATCTCTGGTGAATTTGGGGGGCTGGCGGTTTTTGGTACAAAAACAACGTTATTGTCTCTGTACCAATCCAACGTCGATCGCGCGTAATGGCATGATGCCAGGTCCGGCCAAAATAATGTCTCGCCTCCGTGGGACCGCAGGAAGGGCAACAGACGCTTCTGGAGGCACTCGGTGCGGTAAATTTCGCTGTTGATGGTACCCATTGTTTACTCAGTTTATAGCATTTGCATATGGCCTGCCAGAGCAAGTATTTTTTGGCGAATTTGTCCACTTTCTTCTTCCTTATGTCTTCCGGAACATCAAACCGTGATTTGACAACGTAGAACTCCAGCCCTGGTATCTGCCTCTGCCTTGATGTAGGTTTCGTCATCCATAACCACACACATCGGTTTCGTTAACCACTCACGAAACAGCTTCCTTGCGCAGCTTCCGGACCTTGAATACACGAAGGCCAGCTCGTTTCATGCTTTGCTGAACGAACCAGGCGGAACACTTTGCCTTCAGAGCCGCGTCGCGAATCGAAAGGTTCGGATTACGCTTGAAATAATCCAACACCTTCCGGGCCTTCACAGGATCAGCTGTTTTCGATTTTCTTCCACTTCCAGCCTGCCGCTCGGTCGTCTGGAACTCTTTAAACGATTTTACCACCCGAGACACAGTTGTATCAACAATCAATACGAAACTAACGATTTTAAATTGGCTCACTACTTGACTAGCCTATTGGTCCCAAGCAAACGATTAACGTACCCCATTCTAGTCGAAATTCTATTACTACACTATGTTTGTTTTGATTCGCTATGAAATTTTGACAGATAAAATGTGGGGTTAGTGGATTTTCCTATGTTTCGAGGGGTGAATCGATTAACTTGGGACCGAAGATAGTACCAGAGCTGAGCCAAAAAGTTGAGCACGTTATTTCTGGACCTTCTAGTCTTAGAGTTACCTCTATGGTTGTATGGGTGATTCCCAGTTGTCTTCCGATCCATCTTATGATCGCAGTCGGATTTTCCATGACGGCGCGAAAAATTCTCCGGCGATTTTCTTCTTGTTTCTATGACATCTCAATAACCACTGAACCAATTGTTATGAAAATTTGCACATGTAAACAATTCACTCCAAACTAGTTATACCCTGATTTACATCAATTTTTACCCACGGATAAAAATGGTGCATTTTTTTCGAGTACAAGCCTTACATACGGCAATATTGAATTCAAAAAAATCATAAAAAATATAACATTTTCTTCATTTAAACAACAATTTAACAAGAGTTATAGCTCGAGAGTTTAGTTAGATTAGTTTTTAAATATTTTTCCGTCAGTTTTATTTTATTTTAGTGAAATTAGGGTTGTCTTCGAGAGGAGCGTCACATCTAAATCGCAATTCTAGATGCTCGAAAAATCTCACACCAGCGAATCAATCTACGAAAAATTATCATTCATTTCTCGCATCTCCTTGCATCGTGCATCATCTTTTTGCAGGAAGTCTTTAGAATCGTCATCAATCTTCTATCTATCTACTCAGCGTGCGTGCAGCTAACCACAGCAAAACAACATCTTTCATAAATCGTATATAGAGTCACCCTCCTCGGTTGTCCCTATGATTAGGGAGTTCACAATATCAAGTTTAAAGCAACTTAATTAATAAATAAATCATTTAAGATAAAGAAGCAATGCGAAATTTCAATCCTATCCCTCACCGTGCAACATTTTGAAATCTGCATCATCAAGCCTTTTTTCAAGATGGCGGGTTTTAAAGGCCTATATTATTGAAAAAAAAGAGTTGAAACTGACAAGATGACAAATGAACAGCATCATTCTGATTCTGGTCAGTCCCAACATTGTTTACTCAATTTTGGATAGCCCTACTTTTGACGGATATGAGTAGATCCTACTCAAATAGGGTTGTTTAGAAATAGCGTAAACCCTGCGCTGCTTTTGTCCACAAAATGAGCAATTCGCATATTCTTGATCTATTCCATGGACTGCCGGTAATCTGACAACTTTTAATCTGAACACTATAGACCTGTGCACGGGTGAACTTTAGTTCATCTACTGAAAAAAAAAGTTGACACAACAGCGGGGCCCTGTTTACTAAAAATGAACACATGAATAATGCTCGCGTAACATTTGAAAAGGGCCTATCAAAGGTCCTTTTCACGAGAACCGAAGTACGCCCACACAAACCAAGAGAACTATCGGGAAGGGGAGAATTTCCTCTGCTCGATGGTGTGTTAGTTTTCGTGAGCGTATTCGGTTCGCGCGAAAAAGGCTTAACAAGTTTTGTTTACATAAGACCCGTTTCAAATGTTACGTGAGTATTATTCATGTGTTCATTTTTAGTAAACAGGGCCCCGCTGTTGTGTAACTTTTTGTCGAGTGAGTGAACTCAAATCCATCCGTGCACTCGTCTATTCTGCACGTCGTGCAAACCCGGGACGGTACTTGACAATAGACCTTTTTGACGTTAAATCATCTTTCTCTATCTAGCACACATGGATGAATGCACGATTTGTTTTCCCACTAATCTGTTTCCCTTTTGCTCGCACTCGTTCGATTTAAATGGTGCAATAGTGGGCGCCGATTAAACGTCAAAAAGCTCTATAAAGCTTCTCACTCTTCTTAATGTTTTTGATGAATGCCCGTCGAAAATTAGTGCATGGTGTTCGACGAAGTTGACCAATGATGCAAGGATTACAGTATGATTCTTCTATTTTTATTTTTATTTGATTCGGAGCTTCTACCGCAGTTTAACACCTTGTGGTCATTTTTGCTTAACACAATAAAAACAACCATACACAAACAAGAATATCCATCGCTTAAAGCACGCCGTGAACCCTATTTTCCAACAACAACAACATATTTATCAACAATTAACAACGCCATTGACGTCAACATTGATTCCGGCATCACTGCCAGTCAGAGGGGTGTGATCAGCAACCCCATCATTGGACCCCATTATTTGAATGAAGTATCGTTCATCGAACACGCATGCACAATGTATGAGTTGGCTCGTGTCTAATCTGTTCCGGTCTAATTATTTTTATCTACACGGAGAAAAAATACTACCCAAAATTTGAGTTCTTTTTACTTAATATTGACTTCAGCCTCTCACTTGCACTCGTTATTGTTGTCAAAAAAGGAAAAAGAGATTCGACCCAACGATATAGTTCAGCCCAATAAGCTACTTTTGAGTAAAATGCATATTCTCAAATTTACGTGAATTAAACTTAATTTTGGGTAGAATATACTTAAGAGTAGGTAATTTTTTTTTTGCTGGTGTTAAATGGAAACTACTATATGCGATTTACTCAAATTTGGGTTATTGGGCTGAACCCCGGAATTGAGGGAAAAGTACTTAATTTTGGGTAGTTTTTCATCTCCGTGTAGATAATAAATTTCTATGGTTTTGACAGATGGAATCGCTGCACATTTGAATCCAGCGTTATGGATTCTCGATCAAGAGATAAGTTTAAGTTTCATGTCGGTTTGTCAGCGGAGGAAAAAAATTCTCTGAGCATTACCTTTAAACATCTCATTGGGTTTATGCATCATTCTCATTCGTACAATCTCTATCAGAACTGGTACAAACATGAAGAAAATGTGGAAAACCGAAAATATAGGAAGATCAAGCATGGATGATTCCCGCATGGTGAAAAAATACTACCCAAAATTTGAGGTCGTTTTACTCAATTTAGAGTTGAACCTCTTACTTGCACTCGTCATTGTTGTCAAAAAAGAAACGAGAGATTCAACCAACGATATAAATAGTTCAGCCCAATAAGTTACTTCTGAGTAAATTTCATATTCTCAAATTTAGGTGAATTAAACTTATTTTGAGTAGAATATACTTAAGAGTAAGTTACATTTTTGCAGGTGTTAAATGGAAACTACTATCACAGACAAACAGACATAACACTCGCAAGTTGTTCATCGAACAAGCATTTAACGGACAATTTAAAAGTATCGTAGTTGGTAGTACCGCCACTTGTGGCGCGCATAGTCAATTCCCTTGCGTCTGACGTTTAAACACTACCGCCATCTGTTCAGCGTAGTGCCCACCACAGTGTACTCAACAGATGGCGGTAATGTTTTAACGACGATGTTTTACAGTGAGAAATACTCAATGTGTTATGTCTGTTTGTCTGTGCTACTATATGCGATTTAATAAAATTTGGGTTATTGGGCTGAACCCGGAAATTGAAGGAAAAGTACTAAATTTTGGATAGTTTTTCATCTCCATGAACATTTCAAAAGGTCCTATCTGCTCTGATCGATTCTCTTCATAGACTTTCTCTTTTGATAACCATCACTATGAAAACAGATTTTGCGCTATTTTTACCACATAGTCTTGAGTATTCCTGCCCCGTAGAATCAATGAAAAAAATAAAAAAAAAAAACAAAGTTTTGAGAATATACCTTACCGTGCACAAATTTGCAATCTTCATCATTAATCCTTTTTTTCAAGACTGCTGGTTTTAGAGGCATGTTAGGTGCTAGATAATAGCTTCTTTTATCAAAATTAGTATTGAAAGTACCGTAGATCCCAGCTTATATGAACGATACTCAAGGGGTAAGTTATTCAGCACATTGTGCCGGGTACATTCATCGGCACACCTTTGGCATAC